GCTAGAGGTGGAATCTTAGCATATACTCAGATGTTTTTCAAAATTTCTAGACATAGGATTCAAAGCCCTGCACTTAAAATAGTCTCATTTGAATTAACTCTTTATATAATTTGAAAACACATTCTGAACTACTTTAGAGTATTGTTTTATTTCTATGTTCTTAGTTTATAGAATACATTAGGCAATGCAATTTAATTTAAAAACCCCAAGAATTTTTTAGAATTTTAATCATGAAAATAAATGAAGACAACTTTATTTACTCAAGGTCTCAAAAGGTCAAAGAAACCAGGAAAGTAAAGCTATATTTCAGAGGAAAATGGGATATTTATAAGTTTTCTAAGTTGACAGACTCAAGTTCTAACCTTCAAGGCCCATGATGTAGGAAAGTGTGGCGATAACTGGCTGATTCTGGCTTTCTACTCCTTTTTCCCATTAACGATCCCGCCTGCTTAATTAACATTCACAAGTATCTCTGGTTCTGCTTTAGGCACAGTGGCTCCCGAGGTCCGTCACACAATAGGATGTCTGTGCTCCAAGTTGCCAGGGAGAGAGATCACTCTTTAGAATGAGCCCCAGCCCTGGCTCAAACTCACCTGCAAACTTTTTGAGAAATGAGGCAGAGGCACGCATGAAAACAACAGTTAGTAGCTAAATGACGAGAACACGTGGACACATAGAGGGAAACAATGCACACTGGGGCCTATCAAAGGGTGGAGGGTGAGAGACGGAGAGGATCAGGAAAAATGACTAATGGATACTAAGCTTAATACTTGAGTGATGAGATCACCTATACAACAAACCTCCTTGACACTCATTTATCTATGAAACAAACCTGCACATCCTGTACATGTACCCCTGAACTTAAAATAAAAGTTTAAAAAAAAAAAAAAAAGAAAGCAACCGTTTGCACACTTGTTATGGTCTATTCTCTCATTCTTTACAATGACACTAGAAAATAGCCACAGGCTTCCTGCAAGGCAGCCACAGAATTTATGACTTGTGATATCTAAGTCATTCCTGGCTAACGCAAAATCTAATACAAAATCTAGTAGAATCATTTGCTTACATCTATTTCTGTTCTGAGAAAATAAATTCAGAAAATAATGGAAGCAGAATAATTTAAAATCTGGCTAATTTAGAATCCTAAGCAGCCCTTTTCCCATCAGTGGTTTACAAGCCTTGTTAACAATTTTCCTATTTTAAAATTAAAAATAAAGTAAGTTATTTGTGGTAAAGAATATTCATTAAAGTATTTATTAGATAATATCATGGAGGAAAACATTCAGTGAAGTGAAGGGCCTACTTTACCTAACAATAATCTAATTTATATAATTTTTCATACTAATAGCATCTAACAACAGTACAATGTTTGACTCTTTAGGTTAAATACTTGTCGTAATTAGCCAGAAAGATTTAAGAAAATATTGGATGTGGCCGGGCGCGGTGGCTCAAGCCTGTAATCCCAGCACTTTGGGAGGCCGAGACGGGAGGATCACGAGGTCAGGAGATCGAGACCATCCTGGCTAACCCGGTGAAACCCCGTCTCTACTAAAAATACAAAAAACTAGCCAGGCGAGGTAGCGGGTGCCTGTAGTCCCAGCTGCTCGGGAGGCTGAGGCAGGAGAATGGCATAAACCCGGGAGCCGCCGCTGCACTCCAGCCTGGGCGACAGAGCGAGACTCCATCTTAAAAAAAAAAAAAAAAAAAAAAAAAAAAGAGAAAATATTGGATGTTTCTTTGTTTAAATTAGGCATCTTACAGTTCTCAGAATCCTGCATAGAACTTATGAAATTACAAATGCTAAAGCAAACCCAAAGAAGCAGGAATTAATCTTCATTAAATTTGGGTGTTTCTTTCTAAAAGTCCTTTATACTTAAATGTCTTAAGACAAACATAGATTTTATTTTACTAATTTTAATTATATAGACAATAAATGAATATTCTTACTGATTACTTTTTCTGACTGTCTAATCTTTCTGATCTATCCTGGATGGCCATAACACTTATCTCTAAACTTTGGGCTTTTAATATAGGAAAGAAAGGCAATAATCCATTTTTGATGGTATCTCCTATGATAAACAAATAAAATGCTTAAAAATGAGCAGGTAAAGCAATTTATCTTGAACCAACAAGCATCGAAGCAATAATGAGACTGCCTGCAGCCTACCTGACTTCTGAGTCAGGATTTATAAGCCTTGTTACTGAGACACAAACCTGGGCCTTTCAATGCTATAACCTTTCTTGAAGCTCCTCCCTACCGCCTTTAGCCACCAGGAAGCATGGAATGGGCCAGATCCCTGGATGCAAGCCAGGTCTGGAACCTGTAAGAAAAGAAAATGTAGGCCCTGCAACTGGCTCTGAGGGAGCAGGAGAAGATCAACCCCATACTCTGAATCTAAGAGAAGACTGGTGTCCACACTCTGAATGGGAAGAATGATGGGATTATCCATAGGGTTTGTTTTAGGGAGAAACCAGTTCTCTAAACTCTTGACCTTGAGAGACCTGGTCCTTATTCCTTGGACTTTGGCAATGTCTGACCCTCACATTCAAGTTCTGAGGAAGGGCCACTGCCTTCATACTGTGCATCTGTAGCAAATTCCCCCTGAAAACCCGGATCTGTATCTTAATTGGTTAAAGAAATTGTGTTATCTCAAGGACTGTTCTTCTCTGAGTAGCCAAGCTCAGCTTGGTTCAAGCTACAAGCAGCTGAGCTAGCTTTTTGTCTATTCATTATTCTTTTACTTGAGTGATCAAGTATGTTCTCTCCAAACCTAGAATCCTGTCTTCCTAGGCTATATATTTTGTCCCAGGAAGTCTTAATCTGGGGTCCACAGAACACTAGGGGGCTGGTGAAGTTTATAGAAAAAAATCTGTATTTTTACATACATGTAACTGAAATTTAGCATTTTCTTCTACTTTGAATGCAAAGAACAAACTAGAGTGATATCATCAGTACCTATTACATAGTTATAAAGAGAAACCACAGATATTTTCATACTACACCATAGTCATTGCAGATATTTTTGTTTTTGTTTGAGATGGAGTTTTGCTTTTGCTGCCCAGACTGGAGCGCAGTGGCACGATTTTGGCTCACTGCAACCTCCCCTTCCTGTGTTTGAGAGATTCTCCTGCCTCAGTCTTCCAAGTAGCTGGGATTACAGGCGCCCGCCACCATGCCCATCTAATTTTTGTGTTTTTAGTAGAGACGGGGTTTCACCATGTTGGCCAGGCTGGTCTCGATCTCCTGACCTCAGGTGATCTGCCCTCCTTGGCCTCCCAAAGTGCTGGAATTATAGGTGTGAGCCACTGTGCCCGGCCCATTGCAGATATTTTAATTAACATTCATCTGCATCACTACTTGGATCTTAAGATAGCTGTAGACCCAATCCTAGGTCTAATGCTTTCATAAAGAAGCAAATATAATAAATACTATACCACGAATGTGACGTTTGGATGTTTGATAATGGTATTTCAGTATAATTAAACTTAACAATCCAGTGTATATTATTTTATGCAAGAAAACATATTTTTTTAGCACTTACAGTCTGCCAAACTAGCCTGTGACACAAAACAAGTTTAGGAATTCCTGGTTATGTCTGTGTTAGCCAATGGTTAGAATATATGCCCAGAAAGATACCCTTGGTTAATAGCTAAAAGAAAATGGAGTAGAAATTCAGTGGCCTGGAATAATAACAATCTGGGCAGTCATTAAGTCAGGTGAAGACTTCTGCAATCATGGGAGAAAAGCAAGGGAGACATTCTTAATTGGCCACAAGTGGTTCTTTTTGTTTTTCGTTTTTTTTTTTTTAAATCACAAACATAAGAAAATATAATAAATAACAAGGTCAGGTTATAGAATAGAGAAACACTCTTAGTAAACTTGGAATATAGAATCCCCAAAGGCACTTGACTTGGGAGACAGGAGCCATACTGCTAAGTAAAAAAGACCAAGAACCTCTAGGGCCTGAAGATGTAGGAAACTGTAGGAAGAGAAATTCCCAGATCTGGCAGGGCAAGGGGAGTCATAGGCGAAAGAAATGATAGAAATGCATGGAGAGGGAGGCAGAGGTGGGTGGATCACGAGGTCAAGAGATCAAGACCATCCTGGCCAACATGGTGAAATCCCGTCTCTACTAAAAATACAAAAATCAGCTGGGTGTGGTGGTGCACACCTGTAGTCCCAGCTACTTGGGAGGCTGAGGCAGGAGAATTGTTTGAACCCAGGAGGCAGAGGTTGTAGTGAGCTGAGATCGTGCCATTGCACTCCAGTCTGGCAACGGAGTGAGACTCTGTCTCAAACAAAAAAAAAAAAAAAGAAAGAAAGAAAGAAAAGAAATGGATGGAGAACAAGCCAGAAGGAGGAACTGGGCTGGGGCAATGAGATTATGGTGATGTAAGGGACTTTTCTAGAATTAACAATGCTGGAATTTGTGGAACTCTATTTCTGTTATTCCACCAATCATTACTTCTGTCACATTGATAGTTAAATAACTTCTGTGACTTTATTCCTTGATTCTAAAATATGAGGATAATGACAATGGTATTATAAAGGCAGATTAAGTGATATACCATAGGCAATGTTCTTCAGGCACATGGATTGAATTGAATACACTGTAAATCTCAACTTCCAGTTTCAGCTCTACCAGGTAAAGAGCTAGCAAGTCATCACAATGGGGACATTTAAAAAAAAAAAAAAAAAAA